ACCACACAGCAGAAGAAAACAGCAGCAGGTGCCCTGATAAATCTTCTTTCTTTATAAGGAAGCTTTAATAAACAGATGATCAGTACTATTTTACATACAGCTCATAAACAAAAGAATTAGTATTACGCACAAAACAAAATGACTCAGTGTTTCCAAGGATTTGGAAACAGGGTTTTTGCTCCAAACCAAGCTTAAACACAGTCCTTGAAGTCCCATGTACAGAAAGGCACATGTCCTTTTCTCTGCCTGGTATGTTGCCAGCTTTTCTACCTCCTAGGAAAACAAGTCACAAAGTCTGAATGCAAGAAAAGTGCTATGAAAGTCAGCTGTGAAAAAATGTCAACTAATTGCTCTGCCTTAGTACCTGCCAAGGTACTGAAGGGTACTGTGAGGAAAAGTCACGTTGCTGGAGGTTAGTGTCCACAAAGGAGACAGAAGAGCCTTTTTGGTTTTACCTTTTTTTCTAGCTTTATCCAGGTAAAGGGAGAAAGGTCATTAAGGCAATGCCCAATGAAAACTTTCTCAGTTTGACGAGGGGATACAGCCTCACTTTTATCCCAACTTCCCAGCTGCATACTACCCTCTCCCCTTCCCCATTGCCTGAGGTAATTGGGAGGTACAAGTGTGTTCCCCCTTGTTACACATAATGTATGACCATTAAAATTAGCTCTAAGCCCACTCTGGGCATAGAAGTTAATACGTATAACCCTCATTAAGCCTGAAGAGTTGAGAAGTTCAGCATAACCTCGGTAAAGAAGCATCTAGTCAAGGCTAGCTGAACTCCCCAAAATCCTTCTCTTTGCTGATTGGTTCTTATTCCCCTTATCTACAAGCAGATAGACAGGGCTTTGTTAAGACCCATTCATCTTGTTCTTGTCAGTGTCTACAGACGAATATTCTCCTAGAACATGATAGGGTGTGACATTAAAACTGAATAGCCATACCATGAACAGCTTTCCTTGTAGCTGATTTTGACATTTGAAGGACTGAGCAATTTCACACCTTTTAAGAGTACCTAGCTGGCATTTTTGAAGTTTCCACACTGACATTTTGTGTGAAGGAAAGAAACTAGTGAGGCTAAGAGGCTTTAAACTGCAGGAGGGAGAAAGGCTCCAAGAGGCAAAACAAGCTAATTTTGGTGATCTCTTGCTGTTAAAAAAAAAGAAAAAAAAAAAATCAGTGGATTTTGTTCCTATTGCTACAAGAAAACTGGTTAAGAAGCAGCAATGACATTGCTGCCTTAAGTTCTAGTGCTTCAGAGGAGAAAACAGACAAAAATTGCTGATAGCAATTTCAGTATATCAATAAGAAAGGCTGCCTATTGCACACACCATTTTGTTAATAACATGGAGAACATACCTATTGGGGTTTGGGGGGTTTTTTCCCCTTTTTTTTTTTTTCAGCACAGATGATGAAGGGGCAGCTCTAATTTTAGAGCATTAGCTTAACTCCTGCCCCTAACACTTGATCTAAATTTGTAAATTTTGCCCAAATTCCAAAAAATGGCAGTGCCTGAGCTTAACAAAACCTCTTTCTCAGTAAGCTTTTAATTTCATCATGCACTTAGCCAAGTCCATTTTAGCAGTTTGAGCTAAATTAAATAGAGGAAAACTGATGTATTAAGCAAAGAGTATGATTACTGGAAGCACTGGTTAACTGGAAAGTCTCTCTTTGTAGATGCTTTGTGCAAGAGTCATCAAAATAATCGCAGTACTTTGGCAAAAGCAAAACAAGGAACAGAGACTTTTACTAGAATACACTGCCTAGTTTACAGTTTTCCCCACTGAATTATTACCTTCAGAACACTACTTGGCAATAATTAGAGAACAGCTGTCAAAAGGATGCTTCTACAAGGTCTAAAAGCAAAGAGAAAGGATTTCATTAACCTAACCAATATAACTGGAAAAAAAGAGAGGGGGGGAAAAAACAGCTGCACAAAAAAACCCCAAGAGTCATCACCAAGCTTTCAGGCTCTCAGATGTTACAAAACTGAGGCAGAGTTTCCGGACCTGAGAGAAAGTTTGTCTCTCCTGTGCCACCCACCCAAACCCACATTGCTTTGCTGTGGTGAGAGCATGGATTTAGTTACATCAACTATCTCAAGTCTCCTGCTATCACCATGATTGAAGACAGCTTGCAGGAAGCTCATCCAAATAGAGAGATTTTAATCTGGTTTTACATTTGGATTTTCAGTATTATTTCAAGGCTGCATTTCTACAGCTGACAGTGCAAACCATGGGGCTTGCTCCCCTGAAAACTTTTTTGCAAATATTGAATAAAACCTAAGTATTTGAGAATCATCTTGATGAATCTTAAATAACCCACAGATCTGCTACTCCCAGCCCCACTGTGCCCATTCCTGGACCTGCAGATCTCAGCTGCTGCCTGACCATGGCAGTAGAGTGACAAGGGAGGGAGGTTCCTGTAACGTCCTGGTCATACCTGGGCTTTCACCTACCTCTTGCTCTTGCTTGGGTGAGGGAAAAATCCTGCAAACCAAAAAATTTTTTCTGTTAGCATTTTTTATTTCTTTTTTTTTTTTTTTTTTTTTTTTTTTAATTAAAAAAAATCATTTTCCTTCCAGGGGAAATTTTGAGTATTTGAAGTTCCAACTCAGAACTAAGCTTATTGAATAATTTCCAGTGAATGGAAATGCCCAACCTGTGAATAGTTCTACCCAGTAAGTGCTGAAACACCATGGCTTACAATTTGACGTGTGCTTTTATGACTCCTTTAAAGCTGTTCAACTGTGTCATGGCATTCCTTAATTGAAATAAATTAAAACTAACAAAAAAAAAGATAGAAATTAATTGTTCAATTTTTCTAGGATGCCAAATACAGAAAAATTATTTAACAGAATGTATTAACATAGAAAAAAAGTCACTTACGGCAAGTGATTTGTTGTTGGTCACCATCACCACCAAAACAGGAGGACTGGGACAGAGGAATCCAAAGAGTGTCATGTCATGGTTATGTCTTAATTTTGAATGATCTGCTGAACTGAAGGGAACAAAGTATTCTTTCTCTGAATCTTTTCAGGAAGCCATCACTAATGTGTTCAAGTGCCAAATAAACACATTTGGGTCCCAGCAACTAGGTAATAATGGTTTTCAGCAGTTTAGCAACCTGGTATTTTCAGTGACTTCAGCAGCTAGCAAGGACTATGGAGCTATATTTGGGAAGGCTGCAGCACTCTCAGTCAAATTCCAGTTTGATCATTTATTAAGTCTCAACATGGCAATGTCAGAAAATAGTGTGGCCTTGAGTACCCTGAGAGTGAGAGCACAAGTCTCACAGCTCCATCTCTGTTCCATTATCCCAGCAAAAAAATATGGCTATAGTATTCCCCTCTGACTGTGTGGCTCAAGTTCACTTTTGAGAGGGAAGAGGCCAAAGAAACACACAAGTTTTTCTTCTTTGGGTTCTGCAACCCTTGAACATGGTTTCCCATCAAAACACCATCTCTCTTATATTAGTTTATCTACTCAACCCAAGAACAAAATGCCACAACATAATAAATATTATTGAATGTTTTTCAATATAAATTCTCTGAATAAATTTACAGATCAAGTAACTGCAATGAAGAACAAACAAATGATAGCAAAATGTGGAAAAATTCAAGCTAAAACCCCTCTAACCTTAAAAAATACACATTAAAGATGAAAGTACACTCAGACAATTGCTTTACATGCACAAACACAGGCTCAAGAAATTAATCCATTAGGAAGTGTGTCAACTGCTGTTATTCAGGAGAGTTATCCAAAACTTTTCTATACAGCAATCCAAACCATCCTTTGTATTTAAGTCTTCCTTTTGACCTTACAGCTTACATCTGGGTTTTTTTCTACTCCTCTGGCTTTATGAATTTGTTTGGGGTCTTTTTGTTGGTTTGGATTTTTTAAGAAACAATAAACTTTGGTTTTACCATAAACACCAGCACAAAAGTCAAAAGGATTTAGGATAAAGCACTGATTTTCCTAGAGGGCTATACTGAAAGCCACAAAACTTTACATTACACTGTTATGCTTACTTATATTGAAATCATACATTTCTGTTTGTCTAGTGGTCTGTGATGAGCAACATTCTAGATGAGGTAGATTGAAAATATATTTGTATCACTATAATGATATAAATGTTGCAGGGCAGAGGGAATGAAGTTGGCACAGGAATTTAATTCCTCTCTCCCCCAAGCTATTCCTTTACCTCTGAAATTTCCCACAGTGCTGCTAACTGACTTTTTATAACCTGAGTTTTATCTCACTCAAATCCCTGAGGTTTTATTCTCACTTTGTCTCATTTATCAATTTTTAGAATGTTGGGGGTTTTTTTTAACCTTGCTGTAAGTAAAAGGTAAATGCTAATAGGGAGTCTGCTAGTTCTGCTACATTTCTCCTCCCCTTTCTACCACTAACAGAAGGTAGGTAAGAATGTGGAAGAAACTGTATATTTGAGAGGCTCAGTAGGGACTGGGGAAAGAATTGAATTTATTGAGGAGGGCATACACAAGTGGGTAAAGGATGCACATTTGTTCTACTTCTCACAGAACATTATGTTCTAAGAATGTAGCACTTTGTTTCAGATTTTTGACTGGAGTTTGAGAACAGGGATGAACTATAAGAGGTTAGTGGCTATAGAGTTTGTTCCTAGCAAACTTATCAGGAGATCTCTTCCCAGTCTGCTAAGACTGACCAGATCAGTGATTAACATGTCTGCACTTAGCTGGGAGGAGCAAGAAATTCCTGAACACTAACCATAAAGGGCTTCCACGGATCCCTTTCTGCTCATCACATTACTTTCTTCCTCCTGCACATTTAAGGTACTGCTGTTACCACCCTTGTAGCACAGGATGGAAACTAATGCTTGGAATTCAGAGTAGAGAAACACTGCAGTTGTGCCAAAAAACATCTGTTGAGCTTTGCTGGGTAAAGCGCCCTCAAAACAAAACCATCAAAAAATGAACAAAACAATTAATGACTAAAAAAAAAAAAAAATCAACCTGCTGCAGTAAAACATAGAACAATTTTTTTTTTTTAGAAGTCCAGTCAGCACCTTGTTTTATATAGCTAAGCTCCTAGAGGGGAAGCTCAAATCACAGTCTCATCACTATAGAAATAATAAAACTTATCCCTTAGAAAACAGGCCAAGGTTGTTATCTCCCCCCTTCTCCCAAAAGCATCAGCTTGGCAGTAAGGATGGGTCTTGAAGCCTTTGAATTATTTCAGTTTTGGTGGGTTAACACTTGCTATCAATTTGACCACAGCTCCTTTGACTCAAGCATCCATCCTGGTAATTCTGCTGGACAGACTCAGGATGACTTTGCTTCCAAAAATCGTGTTTTCAGGCCAATATGGCCAAAGTAGAATCACAGTCTGGTAAGACTCAATACAGTTATCTGCCACTGCACAGCACAGGTAAAAAAATCTATATAATTTGAAACAAAGTATAATTAACCCAAGAAGTCCATGAAGGCAAGGCATCAGAGGACAGGATATAATACTAAGCCTTTTCTATGAATATTCTGAATACCAGCTGGAAAGCAGAGAGGCTTTTCATACACATTTTCAAAGAAAAAAAACCTCCCTCTTTTAAGATATCTGACCAGGCCACAGCTGATGCACATCAACCAGAAACTCAAGAAGGTCAGTCCTTAAGTGCCCTCCAGAAAGTGCCCAGGCACACACAGACACGGGGCCATCCACAAACAGTCTGTGCTCTGGGACCACACCTGGCAGCAGCTCCATGCAACAGCACTAATGAGCCATGTACTGTACATGAACCTTATCTCACCTACTGCAAAACAGAGACAAATATTTCAGAGAAGTCACAGTGCTTGCTCCAAAAAAATGCACTGACAGTCTCCTGTGAGGCACAAACTCAAGTGCAAGTGACAAGTAACAGGGCAGAGCTGGTTGAAGCCAGAATGGGAGATGCTGCAGTGCAGTGACAGGATTTATGTACATGCTCCTCTGGAGTGATCTTGGATGATCAGAGAGATGGAAGAACAGCCACAGTTAGTGATGCATCTCCTGTGCATCAGAGGAGGACTCAGTGAGGTGAGAGCTGAATGTCTCATGGGCCTCTTCACATCTACACTGTCACCTGAGGTATGAGCAGGAATGAGCTTCCTCCTCTTTCACTGATAAAGCACAGTTCATCTGTTTTCTTTTTCAGAATTAGGAGTCTCTGAAGTTTCTGTTAAAATTAAAGAATGAATTTCTTCTTCCATAATTAACTTGTCGTAAGCATTCATGGAATCATCCTTTGCATAGCTCTGAAAGAGAGGAACAACATTTTTAACAGCACTTCCTCACGGTGAGTGTTGTTTTTTCAGACCAATAAGACAGACTCGTGTTCCACAACATATACCCCATATTATGGTGAAAAGGCCAAGGTAGCTGGGTAACAAACTGTACTTTTTGGAGACATGGTTGAGGCCTGGTTGACAGAAGAGTTGTTCTCTCTGGAGAGGAGAAACTGAATGTTGGTCCCCACCTTAATAGTGCTTCCAACTATAGCTAAGGGGTAAAGCTCAGGCAGGAGGATGGAGAAGTGAGGCTGTACACACTCAGCAGGGTTTTCACTGAGCACACGGAGAAATCGTGCACTTGTCAAAGCACAACAAAGTGTAACAGCTACCATAGTTACAGCCCTCATGGCCAGGAGTCCCATCTTTGAGAACAACATACACTGCTTAAATTAGGGCTTCTCAGTGTATTTCCCTTAGGGTTTTTATAAAGGACTACTGAGATTCATTTATTTAGAAATAAGTTTCCATAATCAGTACTATGTTTATTTTTCCCGAAATAAGGCACCCTAGCTTGGAGTGACTATAGCTAGCTTTGTTCTTTTGCCAATGAGAAGCTAAACATCCTGGTTTACTTCAAAGCTAACTGACTATGAGAAATGTGAGAATGCTAAAAATACAGGTTTCTGGAAGTCAAATACGAATAGCTTCATTCGGTATCATATATATGAGCAACCAGCAGAAAAACACATGAATGTTCAGCAGAAGTCATCTAATGGAGTTGCAAAAACAAACAAAAAAACCTCAAACCAAAACCCACACAGGAAAAGAATCCTGATAATCAGGAAACCCTCACCTAAAGAAAACCAACCTGAAACACATTTAACGGGCTAGCAGTCTGAAATAAGAGAATAATGCAATTCTACTCGTGTAACTAGAGAAGTATATGCAAAGGGGGAAAATCTCAGTTTTGAGTAATTGTTTCTGAACAACTCCTACTATTGTAAATACTTAATCTTCATATGATATACTTACTTACATATAGTTAGTTATAAGATAGACATAGGTAGTAGGAAAAAGAAAATTGCAAGCCTAGAGATCACAGTTCAATAGATTAGTTGGCCCAACAGCTTCTTACTAACCTGGGAATCCTCATTCTGCTCTCCAAACATGCGCTTAAGAATTTCTCTAGGGTCTGGAATTGGTGGAAGAATTAATATCTTCAGCCTTCATAAAATTAAAAAGAAAATATTTAGATGAGAGATACATTAATTTAAAAATCACCCTTTGAAAATCATATTTGGGTACGGTCAAGAAGATTTGTGGGCTCAGCTTTGGCACTACTGGCCAGCCTTCATTCTCTGTGTAACTGCACTTATTTCTTATTTTTACTCCCCAAAACAAAAGGAAGGGGGAATGTTGACACAGACAGATTCTTAATAACTTTCACTCTTGATAAAGACAGCAGCAAATAGAGGGAGATCGTTATTTACCTTTTCAGATAGACCAGTAGAATTATTGTAGATACTGCTACTATTAATGGAATAGTAATTATTAGAACCAAAGAGATTGTAGAGTCCCTCTTCTCACCTGGCAAACAAAAATTGTACAAACTTAGGGATGTTTTGAGAGGCTTTTGAGGAATAATGACAACAAATAAGTTAATTCTCTAATTTGTTCATAGATTCAATGCTTTTTCAAATACACTATCACTTCTGTAGGCAAGGACAGACTTGTTTTTCAAAAATGGGATTATAATGTAGATATATTTGGCAAGAAAATGCAAACCACCAAGACACAGGGCTGAAAAGCTGACCACACTGGAAAGGGGTCATTGCCCAGCTACACAGATGGCAAATCTAGCAGCACAGGCAGGAACTGACAGCGCTGCTGAAGGACTAGAACTCTCTTGCCCTCTTTTCACCCAAAATTAAATAGATACACAATAGGAAGATGATCTTTGACTCCCATTTATTTAGCAGACAAAAGGTATTAGATGCCTTACAGATGAAGAGTAAAGTGCAACAAAACACAGGGACAACTGCTCTCACCAATGCTCTTTTCTTCACTCCAGTCACTATAGAACTCGCTGCTGTAACAGTCGGGCTTTGGCTTTGCTTTCACTTTGAAGATGTACTTGCTATTGGGATCAATGCCAGAAATTGACACAGAATTCTCTTCAGACTGAGGTAAAAACAAAAGGTAATTTGCTCTGTTCAATTACCAATGTATTCTCAGTCATGAACAAGCCTATTTGCATTGTGCAGATAATGTATTCTGAGTGTTTTGACAGAACATCTTTTTATGACTATTGAACCTCATTAGAAAAAGGACAAAGCAGCACTTAAATTGCACACTGCTTAAACAGAGATTCCAAAGCTAACATTTAATCTCATTCACTGCTACATCTATCATGCAGCACTTGGCATCAATGATTAAACTAAGACTCAGTGTCTGGAATGGTGCCTTTTTAATCTTTTTTTTCACCCCCCTTCTGAAAACATCTATGATTTACACAGCCTTCCTCTCTGTCAGGGTAGCAATGTTGATCTAACTTTGACCATACCAAAGTGTTCTGTGATGCCTCTACAGAGAGGCACACAGACTAGATAGTATCAACATCACTTATTTTTGATCCAAAACGCCAGTTTCCTGAGGATTGCTGATATCATTCGAGTTTGGGGTAGACTAAACAACTAAATATGCTCCACAAGAGAAGACTGCCACTTACTTTGACATTTATTATGCTGTTCACCATTCTGATCAAAAGTACAGTCTGTTTGGCAATACAGATACGGGCATAAGTATATCCAGACACTGAACTCAGTGCTTGTACATGTACATTTAAATCAGTGTGTCTCAGAGTGCACACCTCTTTCTTCTTTTCTTCCCCTCCACCTTCAGTCTTTTTATTCCCTTTTCTGTATGACATTTTGTGTTCTTGTGTGCACCAGCAATTGATTTTCCTATACAGTAATCAGGTCCCACCATTCAAAAACAAGGTTCACATCTGACCACATCTGACCACGACAGGAAAACCCAACACCAACACACCAAAGCCCATATCCCTGAGAACCAAACAGGCACAGGCACCACAGTGCATTTCCTGATAGTTTAGTATATACTTCTTTATCAGACTGTTCTTACACATCACTGTTTTGCTCTAACAAATGATGGGAAGGATTCACAAGACTTGTATGATAACAGAAACCGACTGTATGAGAGAAAAACTTTACATTCACGCAACACTTCCAGCTAGTGCACCCACCCCATTCACATGCAGCATATTAACAGCTCAATTGCAACAGCAAATATCTGAGTTACTGCAAATATCAACACAAATTACGAAAGAGACATAGGAGAAAAAAAAAAATCAATAATGAAAACTTACTGGAATTATCCGACCGGTGTCCAAATCACTATTGCGATACTTAACTTCATAAAGCAAACAGCCTTTTGGAAAGGTTTCTGATTCACTCCATTTTACATCTATTTTATCATTAATCTTTGACAATGTCACTTGACTTGGTGTAGCAGGTTTTACTGAAACGCAAAATGGCACTAATTAGTTCAAAAGTCTATTTCAATGCTTACAAAAATTGTTCAAGTCCTGTGTTGGAGAATATTACACTTATACCAGTTTAGGAACAGAAAGAGGAAGAAGTTAGCAGCAGAAAGTAAAAAAAGAATAAATCCAACTAAAGAATAAGAGTAGAAGTGAATGGAAAATGACCCCTCCACCCTAACACCCACCCCCCCAGAAACCAAACCCTGTCTATATCACTTCAAATCAAAGGTCAGTAGAAGAAGGAAGCATCTAATCATGGTGTCTCATCCACACCTTATCAGGTGCAAGTTTCTCAAACACAGCAATATACTACCAAACTTCTTATTTTAATTATTTTTTTTATGATGTGGTGTTAAACGTACCAAGGGTGGTAGGATTTTTACTTGCACACACAGGTCTAATTTCTTCAGAGTCATCTCTTATCAAAATACTTATAGTCGGGTAAGTATTGGTGACTTTTCGAAAGGTAAAATTGAAAACGCATCCGAAGAGTCCTTGGTCTGTAGAATAGTTGCTGCACTTCTTTGGGTTTTTCAAACCATCAAACCTACAGGAATAAAATTATTTTTGTAAACTTCAGAAGAAAAGGACAGCAAAGGACAGGCTTGGTTTTAAACCCATGTTACAAATTCTGAAGACTGATCTTGCATTAAAGCTGTACTATAGTATATAGAAAAGTAAAGCTGGGTAAAGTAAGAAGCCTCTAATTTATCTCAAGCTTTATAAAGAATATTATAAGTGTTGAGCAGAAAGAGAGGCAGGGTTGCTTTATCTCAAAGCATCAGAGATAACAGCTGCTGTCAGTTCTGGCTCACATTATCCAAACGGGAAAACAATTTCAAGGGAAAAAAGTATTTAGAAAGCACACTAATTTGGACCATTTCTTGTCAAGAGAATTTCACTTCTGTTACAGAATGAGCAGATCAATCTCCTTTAGCTCTGCCTCGGGTACCACAGCTCTTGGTTGAGATGGTCGAGTTTCACCTATTTACCTGCATTTGCTTTTCAAAATGTCAATATTCACTTCCAATAACAGAGAAGCTATGATAACCTTTTTCCTTGCTTCTCTTTGTTCCCCAAGCCCCAATGAACATATACCAGGAGCTTTTCCTCCCCAAAAACCTAACAATTTATTTATTTAAAAGTGATATAGAGTGAATCAGAGCTTCATTTAGGAGCACAAAAGGAATGGCATTCTCCTACTTCATATCTCAATATATAGGCTCGGGAAGTTGAACCCTCTGTCCTGTTTTCAGCACAGACCCATTTTTTATTCACCTTTCCCACCTCCCTGCCCTGGGGCTGATGAGGGCAGAGGCATTCAGAGCAGGTAGCTCAGTGCAGATGCATCAACCTGCTCTCATATGCCTCCATTTCAGCAGGAATTACTGTGTACTGGCTGGATTAATTTGTTCTAAGTTATCATTATATTCACACCCACTTTAGATGAATAGACAGTGTTTTAGAGGAAGACATCAAAGAATAACGTAGAATGGAACTAGGTAATAATTTTTCCGGCAGTTCTTTACTCATTTCTGAAAACCAAAACCAAAACAAACCACCACCTCACCTGCACTGTGGAAAATGTATCTTTCAGTCTAAAAATAAAGTGCTTCTTTAGTTTTTGGATTTAAAATCTAAAAATTATTCTTCTTTCTAAGCAGCACAAATTAAAACACTTTGCAGTCACTGCAGCTGCATCTTCCATTAAAATTAAGGGGCAAGTTCAAAATATATAGCTCAAATCTAAAGCATTATTCCAGTAAATATCCATATACCCAGAAATTCAGATCTTAAATGCCTCATTAGTTCTGTTCTTTCTTTCTTTGAGTAGCAGTCTAGAGAGAGAGAACAAACAGTCCCCCCCTATTTAACTAAAGCATCAAGTTTTCTGCTGTTTGCTCCCAAAATTTCCTGAATCAAACAGCCTGTGACACTGCTACTGGAGAGGAATAGGAAAAAGTTTATGTAGTTAGTTCAAATAAGACAGAAACATGATTTAAAACTACTACATAGGGCTTTCAAAAACAAAACTTCACTATTTCTACAGAAGCTCATGCAATCTGGCATTTCACAAGCCCTATCAAGGTGCAGAAGTATGCATAGATTAGCATGTACAGATACTGATGCCAAGAGTTTGCTCACACAACTCTGCTCCTTTGGAACAAGACACTATTTTGGCAATCCACTGGCCAGCAGGGATGATGATGATGATAAAAAGATGTTCTTCATAACTTCAGAGGTGAATCTGTTATTTAAGATACCAAAGATGCAAACCAAACTACTGCTCAGAATTATTAATCCTTTCATAACATCTCCCAGTGATTTATGAGCTGACATGTACATTAGTGAGTGATTCTGACTTGAACAGCCCATGTTTGTCAGACTGCAGAGAAAGCAATTAATATATTGGTCTAGCTTAATTCTTAATTCTTCCCTCTTCAAATCAAATGCTCAATTAGGTAAAAATAGAAAGCAATAGCAGTTATGTTAAAATGGGTGACAGAAGCAGACAGTGCTTCATGTAACAGTTATATCAAGTTCCCAAAAAGTCTTGGCCACAGCAGGCTCTGGAACCTTGAGTTCAATAGGACTGAACACTAACTTGGACACAATGCTCTGGGAACCTTCAAAGCAACAGAGGAAGTAGACAAGTAGAATGTGTAATGTAAAACTAAAGATTAGCACCAAAGCACCTGAGTTGGGAATAAAAAGCTCATACGAACCAGTAGAACAAGGTATAGTTGGTATCACTGCTTACATTCTCCCCAGGACGCCACGTACAAGCCATGTACTCCAAATTGTGCCAAACACAGCTCAAGTCAACAGCAGCAGTACCTGGAATACCTACAAGGCAAGTTGGAAAGGTTCTCTAAGATTTATTTTGCCAAATTCTTCTTCCCCCATTTTCCATCTTTACACAGCTGAAACTGTCCGGAAGGCAAAAATGGGTTGGTTATCTCTCAGACTACACTGGCTGTCTCAGCACAGCAAATGATGAATTCCAGTTGTTGATAGCTTGCAATAGCTGAAATCTCAGCAGAGTAACTTCTAAATGCAAGCCAATCACAGCAGTAACTTTCAGTTTTCACCATGTCTGAATTACTACTCAGAGTTACCTGATGCTAAGGACAAGGTGTTGAGTCAGGAAAATATTTTATTCTATTAAATGACAGATACTTTAAATAGGAGTCAAAGTAACTGGCAATTACAGGGAAAACTAGAACAAAGTTTAGTGCTATTACAGTCATCAACATAAACTATAATGAAATGCTGACTATTTTTATCTTCTCCAGATACAATATTAGTTTCTTGGTATTCTGAATATGGAAATGCCTGTAGGTCTTAAATATGGACAAAAGCAACACTGGGTAAGTTGACTTTTTAATTGAGACCCATATACCTCTAGACTTTCAAATTCAACATACGGAAAACTCAAATTACAGAACATAAATACAAGGAAGTGCATAGCAACTGTAAAGAGAGATGTCCATACATCTCCCAGGCAGAGCAATTATGGAATAAAGTCTTTCATATTCAATCTTGCATTTCTGAATGGTACTGGTTCTTTATACTGTATTATCCTATTACAGCATATTGGATATTTTTTCCTTCTAACAAGTAGCAACATATCCATGAACCAAAAATTAAATGTGTGTTAAACCCCAATGTACTTTGCTACTTCAGGGAAAATACAAGCTCGGTAGTTCAACTAAGAGTACAGGGAAATGAAACTGCTTTTGCTATTCCAAGAAGTATTGAACAAAGTTTCATCTGCAAACAGACTTATAAAAGCCCCAGCATGTTTAGTACATGCTGTCCTAATAATCTGCTTCCATGATTTTTCCAGAAAACCATTTTGGCAGACACACTGACAGGCTTGATAAGGTGTCTGATTCTCCTACCCCCATGTGGTTTTCGTCCACATCAAGTCATGCTCCCGGGTTAAGACAGATTTTTAGGCAAGAGGCTCTGTGTCCTTGCTGTACATCGTAATTTCAAGCATTCAGCAAAATACATTCTTTCTCAAAGTCTGTTTCCTAACAATTTTGCTGTGCACCCCTTACTTCTGCATTCCAGAAATACTTTTTTTTTCTACTCATTTTGCTATGCACAGCTTTGTATACCCCAGTCATCTCTTTTGAAAAAGACAGAACCCTACTGTAATTATTCAAGTCATTTATTCAACAAGTTGTTAAATTTGCTAGATTCTTTCCTCCAGCATGTACAAATGTAGGGTTATTTTAGGGACTTTTGCTTGTACAGGAAAATCATACAAAATAAGCTGACTCAGGTGTTAGTCATGAAGGCAGCAGGCTTAATACAACCTAAGTTATCTCTTACCCCACAACCACCACACAGCAGGGACAAAAGGAATGACAGGAACCACATTGTTATTTTGGGAGAGTATTTAAATTTTACAAGCTTGTCCATAAGATTTTAAGCCTCAGGAGACCCCAGCTGTGTTTAAATGTTTTATAATCATTCTCCTTAAGCCCTATCAATTGAATGGGCCCGTATAGCTGGTATTTCTCTATGATATATTTCTACGATATTTTGTTAAAATAGCAGAGAAAAAGCCATGTCTCCTCAGGTCTGGCCACTGCTTGTGTTACCTTTTGGCAGAAGGGAGGTCTCCACCCATGGACTGGGCTCACTGGTGTTATCATGCTTGCACTCACTTCTCACTTTGAAACGCATTTCCTCATCCAAGAACGCGTCTGTCACACGGAAGAGATTCTTACTCCATTCCTGCATTTAGATCAGGAGAGGAAAACCACAACATATGTCATACCATCTCAGACACATGGGAATTCCTGTAAGAATGCATCACAGCCCCTCAGAAAGACTGCAGCTCAAAGCCACATGAAATCAGTGTCTGACAACATAGGAAGCCTCAGCATCGCTTGGCTTTGCTTTTTCCTCATCAGGGGCACTCAGAACTCACTAAGGAAAACTACAGCTACTCCTGTGGCCTACAAACATGAGCAAAGGCTACAAAGAGATCAAAAACCAAGTATATAGCACGGGGGGAAATGATCCTAGAACAAGTCTTTATGGATAATGCAAAATAAACATGTTTATATTACAGCTATATAAACAGGAGCTCAGAGATCTAACCTTCATCTTTCTGTGTATGTGCACACGAGTGTGTGACAAACAGAAGAAAAAACATTTGGAGACACAACCAAAAAGCAATGAGAAGAGTTTGCATGGATTTAAGGAGCAAAAGGAAAAGTTATCAAAACAAACCCACAAACGGCTATTAAATACAGCAACACCACATAAAGCCCAAGTAGTCTATGAGCTTCCATTTGCAGAACAGAGTACATGTTTGTGTGAGAAAAAGGCTCAGCCTTTTATCACACACTTTTTTGAATGTCTTTTGTTGGGCTAGGGGGATGTCTTTTACTTAACTGGAAACTAGATACAAACCCAATATCTTTGTTATGACCAAAGAATGCTGTAACCACTTGTGTATAAAAACAAATACTAAATATTGGCACTAATGAGAGGGCAAATAAACCAAACAGCAATAGACAGAGTGGGTTCTATGAACGGTAATGCAAAAAAGATACAGCAAGATGATACAATCTGGTTCATCCTGTCCTGTGAAACTGCTGTCCCTCAGCTCTTTCACTGCTGCTGACCTTAACACCTATTAGACTCTTCCACAAACTCATTCAGCTCATTAACCAAGGTGACCTTCTACTTGTTAGTGAACCCATCAGAAAAGGTAAATAGGCTTCTGTTGAGTTAGCAGGTTCAACTGGCTCATGTAAAGGTCCAATGAAGATCATTAGAGAAAGAGGTGTCAAAATTGAAACATCACCCTTCTAGTAGTGACATTAAATCAACTCAGCTGTTTGTGAAACCACAGAATCATAAAACAGTTTGTGTTGGAAGGGACCTTAAAGATCATCAAGCTCCAACCTCTCTACCATGGGTTCCTGCCTTCCAATAGACCAGGTTGCTCAACACTCCATCCAACCTGGCCAAACCACAGCCTTACTTCATGCCCAGGATATCCTGGAGCTGTGAGAAAGAAGACAGCAGTCACCATGAAGAGGCATCAGGCTGTAAAAGCAGGGCTCAACAACAAAGGACTGTTGCAAATGTTTATATAAATTTTAACCATATCTGAAATAGCAGCACTGCTGACCCCACAGCTGGTGTGTATTCAAGGCTTCAAATTCTCATGGCCTGGAATTATGGATATATTATCTTACAGGCAATAAATTGTAAAAATATTTGTTCTATGACTCCTTCAGCACCATGGCAATGCTACTCTCAGTCCTGACCACAGCAAGGATCACATCTAGGCTGCAAACCCTCTAACAAAGAAAAACAAAAGCCCAAACCCAAGAAGTTTTACAATTTCCATTCCAGGGAACAAATGTGCTCCATGTTGTCTTCATAACATAAACCCCCATGAATAATTGTAAGCACAGGGATAGGGCAAATTTGGGAATACTTGGCATTACCTCCAAAAGATGCTATGCTGTCAAATCACAGCTAAATGTGCACGTCTCCTTCTGAAACTGAGTTCAAAGTAAAGGGCACCAGCCACTCCCACCTAAATTCCCATTTAAGTCTTAAGGATGTAGACTGCCCTGTATATATTTTATTTTTTCTAGAAAGCTGCATAAGCAAAGATTGAAACAAGACTTTTCACATTATTATTACGGTACTTCTGTGTTACCATTAGCAGCTCCATTATCAGGGAGCCACAGACAGATTTTTCTGATCTGAAGATCCCATATACTGGTATGACTCATTTTTGATGTTTTGATCCCATGACAAGAATTACAGGCTATATTAAAACTGTACTTATATATATTTATATATATATATGCTTATATATATTTATATATATATATATATATATGCTTGCACACACATAGTTTTATCCCAATAAGACATTTACCAGGGCACAGCAGGGTTTAAAGAGGTGATGTACTTACTGTTTTGTCCTGAGGAACCTCGTTAATGACGATGTCACTGGAATACTCCAGGTTGCAGCTACTGCTGACGTTCTGTGGGGGGTTCCATGTCCAGTTCAGAGTGCAGATTTGGATAAATGAGTAGTCCAGGTTGGATGGAGGTGGAAGAACTTTTGCTCCTAGAAGAAAGGAGTTACCAGTGTAACAACCCCATTGGTCCACACTTTACCATTAGTAATATTGACTTTTAACTTTCCAACAAAAAAACGAACACACATAACTTCTCGACTTCGTCAGCTTGTATTTGCTATCAGATAAGCTACTGCCCATTAGATTGTTTTTAGTATTCCTGTTACCTCTATCCATCAATACTTTAAATATGCACAGAATAACTGGAAAGTAATTTTTAAGAAACTGCAGTATGCAACAACATAGTGGCTGTGGTACTCGAGCTCATGTTTGTGGAGGGAAGATAAGTCTGACTTTTCAGGCTTTTTCTGCTGTGAGTTTGCATCACACATGCTGAAACTTTAGTAAAAATACTACATAGATTTTGCAAAGCAATTAATATTTTGTTCTACCCAAAAGTTGTCCATCAATGAGGTTTTAAAGAGAAATCTCTAAAAAGACAAGCAATTAAATTTTACAAGCAACAGCTGTACGTTAGAACCACAATTTAGTCCAATCTAAGCAAAGACTGCAAAGGCAAGAACATTAAAGAACAACTTGGAAACCACATTACTTTTTCAATTACTCACCTATTAAACTTTTAATGCTATGTTCTGGCACAGTGAGCAAAAACAACGTGGGACAAGTAGTAATTTATTGCTGGCACACTACAGAGGTACATTTTTTCACCTCCCCAAAAGCCAGACAGCAGAGCCATGACTCAGAGAGAGTTGCTGGGATAAATCTGTTTGTGCTTTGACCCTTCCTTACTCTTTTGCACCAAGCCAACACCTACTCAAGACCCCATCATACAGCTTGAAGGTCATATTAGAAAACAAAGAAGGGAAATACAGCAGAAAATAGAAAACTGCCAGGAAAAAGTAAAGCTGTATCAGACATTAATTCTAGAAAGAATTACAAATTGGAATTCCCCAGGAAAATGAGGGTGGATTTTTTTTTTTAAAGGGCTACTCTAATATGTACTATGAGAAAGTATTAAACAAGAAGCCCAATGAGACTCCTTCTCAGGGTACCTACAGATACCATTGCTGAGGCACCACCACCCGTTTGTCTGTGGGCAGAGAGTACCCTTGTTACTCAATAGTTTCACAAACACTTCAAACAGATATCAACTGGTGCTGCTGGTCTTGCTCATTCCAGGAAACCAAGCTCAACCCATCCCAACATTTAAAGCAACACATAGGAAGAGGGTAGAATAATTCTGTCAAGATCAGTTTTCCTATCCAGATCACACTGTAGACTCATTTCCTTCTGTTGGTACAAGGAAGAGGGAAGATGAAAAAGCAAGAGAGCTTCCTTGAGCAAGAATTACACTCAAAGTGTCCATGACACCATTATTTTACATTTCCTGAGAGTCAGAGCAGCCAAAGCTTGATGGAAATTCATCAAAGTCCTGCAGCTTTCTCAGACTTTGCATAGTTAAAGGACAGGCAATGGTAGAGGTCAGACATTATCACCATCTGTGTGTCCACGTGTATGCACAGATAATGGATGCTCACACAAAAAAATGAGAAAAATTACAAAGATTTACTGATTTAGTGCAATTATGCTTAGTTTTTTTAAATACTTAAAACTTTCAGAATTTTTGTTTGTTTGTTTGTTCTGTTTTATAGATAATGCCAGGAGCAGAGAAGTCTCCACTTCTAGGTTCAGAAAACTGAACGTAGTCAGACCATCTTTGCCTATTACCTGTTCCTTTAAAAAGTTAGGTCAGGTTTTAGGAACAGCATCAGAACATTACATTTGCAAATACTAAGTCCTTTTGATCATATTAAAAAATAAGTATGTATTTTTTCAGCAAGACTACACATCTCCAAGCATCTGATGGTTTCGTGATCAAACTCTTAATTACCTACAAAAGCCATGAACCATTAAAAATATTACAGGGTCATCCCTGGTTGCTATTCTGAAGTTCGGAACATTTTCTTCTAATAGGTTTGATTGAAGTCATTGTGCTTAAGTCTGCAGATTTCTGACCACACAAAGTGGAAATATTCAAAGCTTATAAATAAATCAATGAATTGTATTAGCATAAGAAGTTTAAGTCTAGTAGATTTTCGATTAATCTATACAATTCTGAAGCTCATGCTTTAATGTTACATTCAGCTTTTATTCACAGGCTGGCAAGTCTCATACCTTTTTTTTGTGTAAAATATAGAGTGCAATACTTTTGTTATTATAATTTCTACTGCAATTTTAGCAGAACAACTCAGTGACCAACTACAAAACGTAGGCAAGTCGTTATTTCACTGTTAAAAAGCAAAATCACGGTGGTGCTTCTAAGAAAACAAAGCACGGCAGTAATCAGCAGAGATTAGCTGAGGCAGTCCAGCATAGAAAACGTACTATTTCCAAAAGCCCTAATGTGGAAACATTAACAAATCCCTTGCCTCGAGTACCGTCTAAGTGTCCTAAAGTAATAAAAAAGACATCACATTTGCATTCTGTCCTCCAGCATTTTCTGAAGGTTGATTTCATTGTATATGAATTGTAGCCAGTTGAAAAATAACAGTTCTCTAGAGTTTGCAACTGGGTTTTTGGATAACATGAGCAGAGAAAGAACTAATAAAGCTTCGAGCACGGGTCCTTTTGAAACCCTTCAACTGAACGTTCGCGCTTCCAGAAGCGGGGATACCGAGGGCGAGGGCGAAGGCAGCGGCCGAGGAGGGCTCTGGGTGCCCCGGGCTCCCGCACCCGGCGGACCCGCTCCCGCAGCGGGAGGAGGGCGGCGGGCTTCTGCTTCGGGTTTCAAGGCAGAAACAGTCCCGGGAACCGAACGCAGAGCTTAAAAGATTTCTACCGACCCTGTCAAACGCTGCCTTACTGCGAGAGGAGCGCGGATTTAAATCATCCCCGTTCCTCCGCCCGGTAAGCGGCAGAGCAGGGCAGGGCGCAGCGCCGGCGCTGCCTCGCACACGGCCGACCCGCTTCGGGCGATTTCTACTACAAAACGAAAGCATTTCACTTAAACAGGTGTCCATGTGCGCACCGAGCCGCCCGAGCTGCCCACGGCAGAGCCCGGCAGCGGCTGCTCCAGCCCCGGCCCCGCCGGACACGGAGCGCGGCCGTCCCGCTCCCTCCCCTGCCTTCCTTTCCCCCTTCCCGCTCCTACCTGCCGCCGTGCCCGCGGGCCACCACCCAGCACACGGCGAGGAGGAGCCGGCACCGCGCAGGGGCTCCCTGGAAAGCATAGCTCCGGCCGCCCCGGCGCGACTCCCAACTCCCACTTCCCGTCGAGGGGCCCGGGCCAGACGGGAAGAGCGGAGCTGCGGGACGGCCCGCCCAGGTAACCCGAGCGGGCGGGGAGCGGCGGACGATGCCCCGCCCCCACCACCTGGGCAACTGAGCTGCCAGAGCAGCGTGTCCCGGGTCCGGGCTCGGGCTGCCGTCCCTCTGTTGTCACCCCGTTCTCACCCCGTGCGCCGCCCCTGCCTGCCCTTCGCTTCCTCCCGCGCGCTCACCGCAGAGACACTTCACAGAATCAATGCAATTAGGTTGGAAAAGACTCCTGAGATCATCGCGTTCCCTTCTCCCGGAGCCGTCTGTGCCTCCCCAAGCCCCGACGTGGCCCTGCCGCGAACCGTGAACTTCAGCGATGCTGAGGGACCCTGGCAGTGCCCGCACATCCTCTGCAGGGACCGCAGCCCGCAACCCGCTGCTGCCCCGCCACCAGCCCGGTGCCCCCCGCATCCCCTGCCGCACCCTCCGTGCCTCCTCGCACCGCACCGCAGCGCGGCCAAAAACTCCCAAAGATCTCGTCTTTTGAGTCAAAGTCATTTTCCTTTTACAATCGGATTCACACTCAACTACTACTGCTATTTCATATCATAAGGGAAACAGCTACGTTAGCAGTTCTTTTGATCTTAGAGCTAGTTATTCACCCCCTAGCAGAACTCCTCTTTTCAGAATCCCTCCTGCAAATTCAGTTGTCGTCTGTGCTTTTTTTTTTTTTCTTTTTTTTTGTTGTTGGTTTGGTTTGATTTTTTCCCCCATGTGCTACTACACATTCTTCTTTTTACAAACTTCCCCAAATGCCATCTGCTTCAGCCCCTTCGAAGCACGATGTGGTCACTTGCAATTTTGCTCTCACTTTTGTGGGTGTGATGCAGCAAGTTGTTCCCCAAAATTTTCACGGAAGTGGGAATATGACATAAGTGATAGTTGGTACATTTCAGGTTAAGAAAACATTTGGGATAAGGCTTTTTCTCAGAACTAGATTTTTGTGGTAGCTGACAAGCTTGCTCCTAGTTGCCATGAAATACAGGTATTATAAAAAGAGTACAGATCCAGAAGAGAGGAAATTTTGTCTTAAGTTTCAGTGCAAAGCAAAATTCATTAGTGAAACTTACTTATTCCTAAGCCAACAGAATGTTTCCGTAATTACTCAGCTCTTCAAGGAGTTTTGCAAGAGTTCATCTGCTTTTTAGACACTCATTTTAGAAAAAGGGAAGTGTATCTTTTTATGATAGGGTGGGGAATATCCTGTGTTAATGTTGGGCTTTTTTGCTTTTCTGCCTGTTTGTTTTCATAGTCCTGTGAAAAGAAGAGGATTTAGCAAATTTCCTAGTTGCTGTTAGAAAGTGCCCAAGGACCTGCAGTTATAATCAAATAAAAAATGTAGCTTAAAAGTTCCAGGATGTGGAACATTTAAGCTGTGTGACTGAGATGGGATTGTGCAACTACCTATAGCCAGCATGGACTATGCCTGCTAGTGAGGACATTTGTAGAGTAAAGCTGACCCAAGCAACTTCTCCCTCTTGCTTTCGGTTTCCCTGCTGATGTTTTCTTTCCTTCCTTCTTTCTGTTTTGTCCACTCTTTCTCCCAGGAGAGTCAGTGCCAAGCACACATCCAATGGTTCACACGCTTTTGGTTGCCTGCCCGCCATTGTTCTTGTCGGCAGCTGAAACATTTTTCCCTGGCTCTCTCCTGGCTCCCCGAGTGCCCGGCTTGTTACCACATTCCCATACTGATTCACGGCAATCAGAATGGCTGCCAGAGTCTCCGATCTCTGCCACCTACCCAAAACTTCCCATTTCTCAATTGTGTTGAATCCCGTCCTGCATCTTTCTGTTGCAAATCTCATGCTCGTTCATGTCCCTGTGAGCCGATACACCTGCGCTGCAGCGACTGGGACTTGTATGGACGCACCCGAGGTACATTGAAAATAATCTGTCAAATGAGTACTTGGAAAATGGCTTCATGCTTGGTGTAAACTGATTTATGAATATGTTGCTGATCTGCCCTTGGCTGCGTGTTCCTGCCATTTTCACCCATGCAACCAAAGCCAGTGGTCGTGGGACTGTGCAGTAAGTTTGCTGATGCATTTAAAAAAAAAAAAAAAAACAAAAAAACAAAAGGAAAAACAAAAACCAAACAACTAACCATTTTTTCCTGTACATGTTCCCTAACACAGATTAACAAATGGTGCTGGTGAATGGAGTGGCTTCATGATTACTAGGTCTGACAAGCAGCAGCAGTAATTATCAGCACAGGGCTGTAGGGAATTGTCCCTTTGAGAGCAGAAGAGTCCACAGTCACCCCATAGCAATGGTGAGATTTACCTTTTTTGATTTTGGATTTTGCAGCAGCTTCCATCAGTACTTTGGGTCTTAACTGACATAATGACAGATTCTTCAGAAGATGGCTGGAGTCGGTTCAAAAAAGGGCTCAAATAGAATACAGCTGGATCTGAGGCACAAAAATTCAAAACTATGAGCTGAAAAAAACCCCCATCTGACTCATGGGGCCTCTCCCTTTTTGACCTCAGTGTTTTTTGGAGACATCTAGAATTTTGTGATATGAGTG